AAAGAAAACAGGTCAAAAACCGTGACTGGAAGAAAGAAAAAAATCGAACGAAACAAGCCTCCAGGACAACGCAAGCAAGAGCGAAATGACAGTAGAAAACATGAAAAATGAAGAAGAAATAACTTAACGACAAAAACAAAACGGCTGAATATCAAATGATGGGACATAAGCGGCTGCAACTCGCAGCGATAGAAAGCAATTATAAAACGACAGAGAGCACAAAAAGATAACTACGGCAGAGCATAGCAAGACACAGGCAAGACAAGAAACTTTGCGTTTAAAAACAGCAGGGCTGAAAAACTCTTCAAGAGACAGCAGTTGCATAAAACAAGTAGCGAAGGAAAAATTAGGCGAGAAAAACAAGACTAGATGACACAGCAATGAACGAAACATGTGTGACAAATTATTTTTCGCCGAAAAAACATTAGATGCGGAGGGACAGCAGCAGCCGCACAAAACTAGCATGTGTGGAAAAGAATAAACGACGAGAGATCAAAAAAGATCATGGCAAAGTAGAAAATATACGCTGGAAAGGAAAGTAACTTATGGAAAGAGTTAACGAAAGGAAACATATGGAAAGAGCTTGGAAATTAAGGAGCAAGATAGCGCCACAAATATAGAAAAAGGGTGTTGACGGAGAATACAGCTGAGGTGCAGAATACATACAATAGAGAATAGGTGGGGTAAGCAACCGCTTGCTCTGTAGAACAGAGTGATCGGATAAGGCGTGATGTGTCAACAGCTCCAGTAAACAACAAGAGAGAGCATAAAAGGCGTCATGAATGTTACGTAGGACAAGAAATTAACTTACGGAAATAATTTACGAAAGGAAATTAAGAAAAACTTCTGGAAAGAGATGAAATAAAGCAAGATATTAACACATCGTACGCAGCAGTACTCACTTTAAAGTTCGAAAGTGAACAATTATGAGACAGAATAAAGGCAAAAACACAAAGTACGGACAATAATCAACCTCTTACAGTGAAGAACAAAACATATAACAAAATGGCCGTCGCAAGAAACAAGAATAAGATGTTCTTTCGATGACGCATGTAGTAGCAAGTTTACAGTCCGAACGTAAAGATAAGCGAGAGAGAAACAAGGCAAAACCTACGGAGAACGATGGACTCTGGCGTTATCAAACCGAGCATCTACAGAATCGAAGCAGAAGCTAACAAGACGACGGCCGGAACAAAGACCAAGGGCAAACAAAAAAATAAACATGGAATAAAATAATAATCATAATCAAACAACTGCAAATGCATGCGAAAATACACACTACTTACTGAGCGGAACAGCACACTGCGATGTGGAATCTCCAACGGGACGAAACCGCAATACCGGTATTGAAATGGGGCGCCAATGATGACGTAAAGTTTATTGACCGATCTGTATAAAGCTGTTTTTGATTGGACAATATTAGCACTGACTTTTACGTATTTCCATCATTTGCGGTAAAGGAGTAAAATGCGAAGATCGCATTACTTTACTGCGTGAAACAAATACACGCTGGAACATCAAGTAATGCACTTTGATACGTAAGCATGCGTGCTAAAATGATTTTCTGTGATTACTTGCAGGTTCCGCTTTCTACTGGTAGCTAATTCCCGCTGTTTCCAGACTAACAAATTTTGGGCTTACTGCTGTCAGTTATGTCGTAGGTAGTCATTAATCCATTGTAGTTGCTGTGTATTTTCGAACAAGTGAACCAAACATTCAAACAGGTGGCAAGTAGTATAGCGCAAACGCGACTACTGGTAAAAATGACAAAATCAGTAACTGCTGTCATTTTATACGGTCAGATGATTATAGCCACAAATCATCACGAGCATAAATAACAATTAAATTATCATTATATTAAGTTAGAAATAACCAAGTCACAATATTACAGAAAATCGTGCGTGAGATCTTTATGCGGCAGATGATACTGTATTTCGGTAAGTCGCAAACAGGGTAACACCGCATAAATTTTTAGTCAACATCATGGAAAGATTCTGATGCTTCGGACTAACTCCAGTTCGTGCTCAAGGAAACAATGAGGTCTTACACGTGTCATTTTTCTGTGGATCGAACTGACTTGTATGGTTAATAGTGTGCCCTTATCGCCGGTTCTAAGCTACCATTCGATGTGTTCGGTCCATGTGTCGCTGCCATCTGCGTCAGGGAAGCGATTAACACAACTGGTAGTGCGGATTATCAGCGCTTCCTTGGCTTTACAGGTGAGATGCTGCTTTTCCTGCAAGACGTCTTTTGCCTTGCCAGAAGATATTGTATGCAGGTCAGTTGTAAAATTTTTTACTCTAACAGAGTTCTTTTCTCATCATGTGAATAGGCATGTCTAAAAAGTCGCGACCCCGTCGTCCAAAAATGTGCAAAAAGGACTTTGCTGAAGTATACAAACTTGTATAACTGATTCCAGTTTCGATAAGTCCGAAATAATTGTTTTTAAAGAATTGGAAAATAACGAAATCATTGCCAAATATGAAAACGGATAAAGGAGACGTAACCTTGATTCTGGATCAATTGAGAGTATATTGATAGCTGCGAAGAACCACTAAAGGTGTGGGCAGTTGGAAGAAAATCCAACAAATCGACGAATGAAATCGCCGAATAAAGTGTTTGCGGAAACGAGTTGAACTGAGAAAAAGAAAGAAATGGCTACAGACGACGGAGAAGAGCCGGCTAATGAATCTGCCTTAGAAGTGCAAATAATTCACTTGAATTGTGCTCTCCATCAAATACACAAGCTGAATATTCCGATGAGACCCATTTTTGCACCATTAACATGCATCTCAGCTGTGATGGCACGACTGCCTCACTCAACCATTCAGGGCAACGGTAAATCACATGTTAAGAACTTTGGAACTTTATTACATTAGAGAGTATCGCAACAGAGCAACAATGAAGACACCTTGCTGTGCTGGATGTTAAACACTTTTTTATTAGCACCCTGATGGGATATGCAAATAAACTTAGTTGAAGAACAATTAAGGAAGGACATCAGTCTGAAGAACAAATCAACTTTCTCAGTAATTTCCAACCTTAAAATATTCAGAACATGTCTCAATGGATTCAAGTTTTTAGAATTCAACGGTGGGTTGTACCGCCAGTTTAAAAGAATCTCATCGGGTGTCCTCTGTATCCAGCCCTGGCTGATTTGCGCACTGACAATTTGGAACAACGAACCTTCACTCTGGGGAACAAATAAATATATCCAACCTTCTTCAAAAACATATTTAGAGACACTTTTGACATTTTTGAATGGAGACGGAACATCCTTTTGGAACGTCTGAGCAATCTCTATCCAGATGTCTTCTTACTAACTATGGAAAAGATGGTGAGTGACATTTTATGATTCCTGGACGTGTTCGTGAAATTTCAATAGCA